CCCTAGCGACGTTTCTTTTAAGTTATATTTGAGTTGTTGGGTTTGAGCTTGTCAGGATGGTTAGTTTTTTATATATAAACGTAAGATTTACATGGTCGTAACGGACGATTCTGATTGGTCTTGTTTCGATAAGAATCGCTCATGCATTTGGCTAGGGTTACATTTGGCCATCATGCAGAAGAACGTGAAGATAATGATCCACTAGGTCTTCGCACACGTGTCGAATGTGTGAGTGTGCGGTTATGTATTCCAGGAGGGATACATCCCTTAAATGTTGGTCCTATCATGCATTTATGTAAAATATCAAATGGGCTTATAGAAGTGTCTGAGCCCGAATATAAATTGTTGACCCTATTTTCTGTTCTTTATCTATGTTTTGTTATGGACTACAAGTCCACAAACATGTACCAGTCCGACATTTACAAATGCCCTGCGCAAATTTAATAAGCATATCGTTTTCACTTTTCACATATAATTTAAAATCACAATTAATGGTTATTTCAAAATATCATATTAAAATTTTATAAAGCAGTTTCTTAATTTCACAAAAATATTATAAAAAAAAATCAGTCAAAGTTAAAATTATACTACGATTGAAATATGATTTTCTTTGCATTTTTGCTCATAATATGATTTTTAAGATTTTTGAGAAACTTGAATCCTCCAAATTATATTTATTTACCTTTTCGAGCTTCTTAAAGTATGAACCTTTTAGCATTTTAGATTAACCATTGTGCATCAAAAAATTTTGATTCCACAACATGAAAGTAAAATCTAACTAGCTTTTAAAAAAAACGTCTTCAACCACCAAGTAATTACATACCAACACAATTACATAGCATTAACCTAATGATGACTAGAATTAAAAGATTGATCCACACCTGGCTACTCTCATAGAAGACAACATAAAAACCAAAGAAGGAGGAAATCAAAAACGTCGTTCAAGAGGAGAAATTGTTTTTTTTCCTTTTCTTCTAAACTATATTTCCACTAGAATCGTTTGTTCTTATATCATGTAAAACTTAATACCAAACTAACTTGCTTTATCAAAATCATGAATATGGACTACTGATAGACGCAGACCTCCTATTAATTTCCTCTTGAACATGGTTAAATTGTTTTATACCCTGCGAATTCTCTAATGCCATGATTTTGTTATTGTTATTTACGTGCTTTTAAATTTATTTATTTGCTATTTTTGTCACTATCCACAGCACTAAATAAAATCCTTATATTTTCTATCTTAGCTTAACTTGATTCTAATAAACTCGTAGTGTGGTCATTTGGTTTTTTGTGGATTCGACTCGTAAGAACTATAAACGGAAGGAAGTTATATGCATGAGTGGAAGGGTTAAAACTCTGACACATCATTTATTAGGGCAGAGAAGTTATGCGTGAGCAGAAGGAAGAAATCGACAAGCTGAAGAAGCTATTAATTGCAAAGATAGCTTATACGAGCTAAATTGATCCATTTAACTATGACGCTTAATTTTCTAAGCATCTACCACAAATGAGACATTGTTATTATCATAGTACTTAGAACTTCGAAGTACTATATATGATAACATTGTCCCACAAGAAATATTATTGGTCAATAAGAACACAAAGAACTAATGAAACTATGTTGATTCAACTTTGCTTGAAGTCCGGCTTCAATAAAATCAATTTATTTATTTTAGTTTTATTAATTGTAATAATTAAATAAAAGATAAAAAAATAATTATTTTTTGTTTTAAAAAAAAAAATTAAATCAATGCCAGTGTACCATAACAAAGCAACATGTATATTTTGTGTGTATAGTTTGTTCATTATGTGTGTTCATAATACACATACAAATCAAACCAAGTAAGAAGTTATTGATCGTTTTAGTTTACGGAACATGAAGTTCAGGTCCTTCGGACAATGCCATCAATATCTGAGGGGGTGCAGTCTCTTCATCAGAAGAGAAACCAGAGAATCTCGAAACCTAATTTGCAACAAAGGAAGAAATCAACCCAAAAAACCCATGTTTTAGATTTCAACATCTCTGCAAGAATCATATTTTAGAAGACGAAGAATGTTGTTTCCTACCCTCTCTTGCCTGCAACGTTGTATAACAATGAATGACTTGAGACAGATATATGCAACCAACAAGATTCCCAATGTTCTCAATAATGGTGACTGCAAAAGGCGAAGAAATCTTTCTTTAGCTTGGGAAATATGAGGATATATGTATGTTGGAGCAGTTGCTTATCGAGCTTACCATAAGCAAAGTTAATGAGAAATCATCGATTCCACCTAAAAAGACTGGAAGAGAATGGCGTAAGAACAGCAGAAAAATGAACTGCACAAGAAGAAGAAATGTATCACTGTGTGTTTACTCGGAACTTCCGATCTATTTGTTCCAAAAGTCTGGACAGAGAAAAGAAATATACTAGCAAGGCAATTACGCGACAACAAATCAAGCTTGTGGGGCTATGAAATGAATAAAGCTCGTGATCATCCGCTGCATCCCAGGTTAGAAAATAAGGATTACGAATATCTGATCCCTCGAATCCCCAATCCCTACTAGAACAATATCATCAAAAATATATGATTCTCAGCTGAATAACTACATTGTGCAGAGGAATAAAGGAGGATATCAAAGCAAAAGACGACCAAAAGTACCTGAAATTCATAGAGATGCCTGTGTAGTGAAACAGTTGTCGGGGAGCTACGTAACCAGGTTTATATTGCTGTAACTTGACCAAGGTTTCATGAGATAATTGCATGAAAGCAGCGAAAAGGAAGATAAAGGAACTCTATGATTAGTTTGTGCTGGACAATAGAATTTATACCTGACGACAAATTTCGCATACAGTATCACCTTTTTCGTTGCACCATCTCTGGACACAATCATGATGTGCAAACTGCGGCAGTTGATGAAAGAATTATCGAGGTAAGGAATTAAAAAATTTAGACAGGATCCTGTTTATGGAAACAACCAGAGAATAAAGATAGAACCTTTAATGTTCCTGAACAAGAACAAGGCGTATCCATGTTGGAATCTTCATCATTGTCATGACAAATCCTACATTGTACGAGTTTGCTCTCACAAGTATCAGTTCCTGCAGATACAGATTCAGATGTAGCATCTTTGTTAACAGATTCTGCTCTGTTTACCATCCCATGGCCAGAATCGCTTGATAACCGATCAACCACCAACACTAAATGATCTCCCATCCTAACTCTTACCACCAGAAGAAACAAAAAAAACACAAATGACATATAGAATAACTTTTGAGACCAAATGACACAAGATGAACAAGAAAAACTAAGCACAAAGAAGAACAATAACATGAAGCAAACTAACAGAGAAACTTGAGAAGCAAAGTTAGAAAGTTGAGCAAACCAGACAAGAATTCTATTATCCCAAAAGTTGTTTGTTGTTGTGTGTACATGGAGATAATGTGATTAATAGAAATATAAACAGAGGATGATGCAAAAGAACAAACAAACAAAAAAGATTCTGATTCTCTGCAAGAAACCTAATTTCCTTTTCTTCCTTTGCCCTGAATCCATAACTTTACAGCATATTCTTTTCCTTTCTTCTTCTTCGTATTCAATTTCATTATATTTCCATTAATAAAATATAATCAATCGTCATATGTAGAATGTGGAGATGCAGTACATCCAGAATCAAACGGATCTTCAGAACCACAACAATGCCAATACTGTAAAACTTGTCCAGAATTTGGTGTATCCATTGTTCCACCAGTGTATACACTCTCGAATTTCCTCTTCGTTTCACCTAAAAAACCCCCAAAATTCAACAACTTTAGATCATTTCTTCAAACCCTATTTCACTATTACCAAAACACAATTCCCAAATCAGAGAGCAAAATGAACCCAATTCCCAAATCAGAAAGGGAAATTTCAATTCAAACCCTAATTCACTATAACCAAAACACAATTCCCAAATCAGATGCTAGTTTACCTCCGAAATGGGCAGTGTGGAATCTACAAGCACGAGGGTGATTGAGGAGAGGATCGAATTGGGTTTTGCAATTCTTGCAGGTTCTTAATGTGGAAGAAGCTGCGCATCGGATTGGTCTGGCTAAGAGGTACCGTCGTGAGTTTATGGTCGGATTGTTGAAGCTTTGGAGGGAGTGAGACTGAATTAGGGTTTTGGGGATTGGAAAAGAAGGAGAAACCCGGAAATTGAGTAAAGCTTGAGCCATTCTTGATCCGTACCAAAGGAGGCAAATGAACCAAATAGATTATTTATAGAAACAACAAAAAAAAAAAAAACTGTTTCAAAACGACTGCGTTTTTGGCACCCAAGTGCAAATTGTTTGATTTTGTCCTACTTCTATGATTGAAACATTTCAATCTCAAAATTTTCAGATTGCTTCTAAAAATATTGTTAACATTTTACATATTTACAACACAGGATTAGTTTACACGCCCTGAAGGCACATCCGCATTCCCTATATGGTTCACAAGACGACGAAACATGAAAAAAAACATAAACACTAGATTATACGGGTAAACGGTCAATTTTGACATCCAACTTTTTCCGTCGTGTCTTTTTAGACCTGAATTTTTATATGTGGCTAATTTCAATCTGAACTCAAAAATAAATCAAATTCAGATGTGCTGAAATGTACCTTGACCATTTTTCCGTTAGTCAACGTTAACGAAAAAATGATAAAAACGACACATGAATTAGCTGGCTTGGTTTTATTTGGTCAAAACAACGTCGTTTCATTGTTTTATTAAAACGAAATTGTTTTGTTTTGGGAATTTATCAAATAAAAGATTCGATTTTGAGTTATCGAGCAAGTTATCTAGTCTCATTTGTTATGATTTTATCTTTACTAGGGGATACCCGGGCTACGCCCGGGATTATTCATAACTTTTTCATTAATTTTAAGTTATTATGTATTTGAATGATATAAACCTTTTACATATTTAAAATACGTTCATATGACAAATTTAAACATTCCAATAATAACGTTTTTACGTCTGTCGAGAAAACATAACTCTGGAATCGCCA